TTCTTTTGGGTTAATGTCCCCTAGGGGATGTCTAAATGGTAGAAGTGTGTAGAAGACATTGCCAGACTGTTTAACAAAGAAGCCACGCTAATTTATAATACCACCATCAAAGCGTGATAGCCCCTGTCACAAGTTCCCCTTCCTGCCCTCCTCTGACTGTGACCTCATAAGGATTTTCGAGGGATAGTGAGGATCCTTCCTGTACTGGGTGGTTTTGTGTGTCAACCCGACACCAGCTGTAAGGCATTTTCTCATTTAGTGATCAATGGGGGAGGACCCAGCCCGTGGTAGGTGGTGCCATCCCTGGGCTGCTGGTCCTGGGTTCTATAAAAAGGTGGGCTGAGCAAGCATGGGAAGCAAGCCAGTAAGCAGCTCCCCTCCTTGGCCTCTGCATCAGCTCCTGCCTCCAGGTTCCTGCCTGTTTGAGTTCCTGTCCTGACTTCCTTCAGTGGTGGACTGCCATGTGGAAGTGTAAGCCAAATAAATACTTTCCTCCCCGACTTGCTTTATGCTCATGGTGTTTTGTCGCAGCAACAGGAACCCTAACTAAGACACTTCCTGTAAGGGATCTGGAATCTCCCTTTCTCCTAGAACCAAGACTGAACTGCCTTGGAACTGGTAAGTAGGTAAGAAACTGTGGAGTTTGGTTGGTTGGTTGGTTGGTTGTTTTTTCTGTATTCATTACCAGGACTTATGTGAGCTTTCTGCTTGCCAGTTACCACAGTTTGGGATTTGGGTTTATTGTATTATATTTGTTGTTTTGGGGGCTTTTTTTTTGGGGGGGGGTTCGAGACAGGGTTTCTCTGTGTAGTTTTGCGCTTTTCCTGGAACTCACTCTGTAGCCTAGGCTGGCCTGGAACTCACAGAGATCCACCTGCCTCTGCCTCCTGAGTGCTGTGATTAAAGGTGTGCGCCACCACCGCCCCATTGTATTGTATTTGTTGTGTTTGAGAGATGAGGCAGGAGTAGTTACACACCTCACATATCTTAATTGTCTTTCTGTCTTTCCCTTTGGATCCTGAACTTAAATTTAATCAGACTCATCCGTGCCTTGTTGCCCATTTAGTTACATTAAGCCTCTGACAGTCAAATTCCACAACTTGATATTCCATTATCAATCTGCTCTGACAGAGTCTAGGATAATGGCCGTATCTTCCACTAATTCTAAATCTGTATTGGTCAGACCCAGTGAGTTCTGTTTCCAGGACATTCTTGGCCATTGCTTGTCTTAAGACTTTAGTGATATCATCCAGGCCTTCCTAGGGAAAATGCAGACTATAGCTTCTCCAGAATTTTTTTTCCAACATCCTATTTTTATTATTTGGGAATTTCACACAATGCACCCCCAATCACACTCACTTCCCAGTCCCCCTAGACCCACCCTCCCACCCTTGGGCCCTCCCCAATAAAAGAAAAAATACACCAAGTCCCATTTGTGTTGCCCATGTACTCATTAGAACATGTTCAAACTCCAAGTGGCCAGCCCCTTAAAGGGAACTGAGTCCTTCCCCAGCCCACCCCACCCCCACCAGAAATCATCAACTGTGAAGAGCTAGACTTCAGGATCCCTATCACAATTTCTAGGACTCTCTTCAATGGCTTCCTGTCTAGACGGGGTTTTTGTTGTTGTTGTTGGGTTGGGGTTTTGTTTGTTTGGTTTTTTGGTGGGGGGAGCTGTCACAGAAGCCTTCAATGTCTCTCATTCTCAAGCCTTCTTCAGTCATTGATACTACTGCAAAAGAAGCTTCCTTGCCCATAACAGCCAGCAGCAGCACAGATCATGGACTTCCACATGGTTTCCAGCAAGGACCATGGATATCAACATGGCCTCGGGCAGCAACATGGACTACAGACAACTCAGCCTCCAGCAGCAGCACAAACCATGGAGGTCTTTTGAGGAGGCCCAATCCAGAAATGAACCATTCTCCATCTCAGACATCCTGCCATTGGTTGCTCGGAGCCAGGGAAATGGTGTGACTGGGCAGCACTTGCCTGAGCTCCATCTCTACTCAGCAACACCGTGCCATGTTCCCACACCTGTGGCCACCACTGTGTCTGTAGTGCTGCCTCTTCCCACATGGCGTGCGACTCCATTCTGCTATCTTTTCCACCTCTCCATCGATGATTTATTCACTGAAGGGGAACTGCAAAGTGCAGTGTCTCACACAGTATATTTTTTTACCCAAACAGCTTTACATGCAAATACTTGTTGCAATGAGTCATTGGTCTGGTTCCAGGTTTCTGGTTTTTGAAGCACCATGTATACTGGACTATCACTGAGACTCATCTCAGATATCCTGTTCTTGCCCAGAGTCAGGGTGACCTTGCAGGGTCAGCACCTTGAGGCTGGTTGGTCCTTGCCTCCTGGCAGGCAGAGAACTGGCCTTACTCAGCAGTGACAAGTTCTTTGTCCACAACAGCCATGCTGCCCCTCCTGTTTTTAACACTCTCCCACCCCTGAGTTTCTGACCTCTTTATTCAGTATTATTCCAAATAACTTCAGGGACTCCATATGGATATTCTATATCCTCTGCACACTGTCCCTGCAATCTCTAGGACCAGTTGCAGGCACCTTTGTCAGAGTTCAGATGGCGTATCGGTATGAGAGCTTCCACCTCATCCTTTCCTACCAAACTTCGTATTCTTTTTTCCTCCTACTCTTTGTCCAGCATAGTCTCAAGATCTGCTCTCAGACATGTTTCCTGGGTTCCAGCCAACACCCTTAGACCAGAATCTGCAGTCCATTCAGGCCATAACTACTCTCCTGTGGAAAGACTATTTCCCAATGGGGTACACTAAGACCTGATCCTGATTATTAATTTGGAGTCAGTGAAAGGTAGCGGGAGTGGATTTTGAGAATGACAAGTGTCAATTTGTCATGCAACTGCCTTAGGTTATTTTTAATTAAATTTTTACTACATTTAGATGTATGTATGTATGTATGTGTATATATGTGCTACACAGCAGGTGTCCAATACATTTATACACAATGGGCAACTTGGTAAGACAATGTAAAAAAAAAATCAAGTGATTTTATTAGAAAGAGGCTTATAATTTTAAAATATAATTTTTAGTTAAAAACGTAAGTTAACATTCCAAAGCTTAAAAAGTAAAAACTAATGGTTTTAACTTTCCATTTTGAATGAAAATCTGGCCCATATGTATTTGTTTAAAGCCTTTAATAATACCCTTAATTTTTAAGATAGCCTGCAAAAGTTAAATTATGATAAACTAAAAATACCTATTGTACTTTCAGGGTTTTAATCATATGAAAATAACATGTATAATTCACTAAGAGAGAGAAAAGGTGTACATATGCTGAGGCAGGAGTACTGTGACTTCAAAGCCAGTCTAGGCTACACAGTGGACTATTTAAAAAGCATTGAAAGTGCTAAGTCATGAATTCTGACAAATTCCATTTCACTTGTTTCAATAAGCTAAGCAAAATTCAAAAGACATATGTATACATTAGGAATTACATAGGCTGAGAGAAAATAAACTTAAATAAGTAGAAGATGCATCCGGATGGCGGCTCCAATCTGTCCGATAGACTTCAAGAAGGCTTTGTACCTGCTGGCGACGGAGCTTTTCCTTTCCGCTTAGCAGCTTTTTCCATTTTTAGCTGTAAATTTAAAACATTTACTGATGAAATTTTTAAATTATCCTAAATAAAGGCTGTACGTACCTCGTTAGTCATGCCTTATTTAGCATAGCCACACCGAAGTTATTAACTTCTGAACATTAACACCAAAATCTGATCATTAAAGGAGCATGACTGCATTCTTTAAATGACTGGCTTTAGCTCTTCAGGAGTTTGATAAAAGGAATATATAAATCAGTATTGCCTTGGATAAAAATAAATGTGAATGTCACTGAAGTATTTCTAAATGCTTAAAATTGTGATGGTACTTCTGGCCTATGCCTGTTCCCTGCAGTTACAGAATAAACCTAATTCAGCAGTATCATCTGTCAACACCAGCACGTTAAGGGTGCGTTCCTAGGATTCCAAAGCGGGGGACAGTAAGTGGCAGCTGTCTAACTTTGAGAAACACGAGCCTTTCCACGACAGTACGGACTCTGGGACTCCCCATAACACAGGCACACCTACTTCTTCGTCATCACCACTCAACAACTCCCAGGCACAATATCAGCCTCAAACTTTCAAGGGGACAAACAGAAAATAAAGGGCCCAAAGTGGAAACAGAAACTTTGAGCTTAAGTGACAGAAGTCATATCAAGAAACCAAGGGGAAATGGAACAGGAATAAATATGATCAAGTAAGTTACATACATGTATGAAATTCTCAGAATAAAAAATAAATTAAGGAAACCAGAAAAAAAAGTCAGGAGGAAGGTGTTGCTGAGCGGCACAGCATGTAGCTAGTAAGTACCAAGACTTGGGTGTGATTTCCAGCAGAAAGGAGGGCATGAGAAAGGGCAGAACAGAACAGGAGGTACAGAAGGAAGGGGAGCGAGGGCGAGAAACTAGCTGGAACCCGGTAAAACCAGTTTACCGTATCTGTCAAATTACAAGTGATAAATTGCCAGTAATAAAATCCAGGTAACCCATCTTCCCTTTTCCCTTCATCCTCTTTGGCTGACACCTCACTGGGACACCACGCCCTCTTATCACTCACACACTGTCAGGTCCTTTGAAGGACTCTGAAGAACACCCCATTCAAAGGCAACAATTAGAGGTCCTTTTCAGTAGTTTTTTTGGGGGGGAGTGAGAGGGAGTTGGTTTGGTTTGGTTTGGGTTTGGGTTTTCAAGACAGGGTTTCTCTAGCAGACCAGGCTTGCTGAGAACTCAGATATCCGCCCGCCTCTGCCTCCGAAATTCTGGGATTAAAGGCTAGTTTTGGTTGGTTGGTTGGTTGGTTTTTATTCTCATACAAAGTCATAGGCTTCATAATGGCGTTTTGCATATGTATTTTGTTTATCCTTCTCCCCATCCCCGTCTCCCCTCCTGCTGGCCCCCTTCCTCCCCAGTGTCCCCTCTGCTTTAATGTCACCTGTATTCACCCTCTTTCTGGTTCTCTTGTTCTAAACAGAACATTTGAATCCTACCTCTTTTCATTTGTTTCTTTAACCACAGTATAGATACTTCTCAGGATTCTTCAAAGGTATAAGTAAAATCAAATATGTAAATGAATGTATTTCATAAGCACTCAGTAAGGTGGGTTTGAATGAAAGTTCCCAGCAGTCTCAGGCATTTGAATCCGTTTGGGGAAGATTAGGAGGTGTGGCCTTGCTTGTGGCAGTTGTCACTGGGGACTGGCTTTAAGGATTCACAGCATTTTGAGTTAGCTCTCTGCCACCTCCTTGCAGTTGGAGGCGTGAGCTCTCAGCTGTTCCTGCCACCCTGCCTTCACTCCCTATAATGGATGCCACCCTCTCCAGAACTTCTGTAAGCCCAGTTACTTCCTGTTAAATTGCCTTGGTCATGATGTTTTATCACAACAATAAAAAGAAGAATACTACACTAGGCATGGTGGCATATACCTACAGTTCCAGAACTTGGGGAACGGAGGCAGGAGGATTGGCAGTTCAACGTCAGTCTCTCAAATGTACCGAGTTTGATGTCACACTGAGCTACCTAATACCCTGGTCCCCCACCCCTCCCCAAAAATCAATCTGTAGATAAGTGCTCAACAACTGCTAGACTTTTTTCATCTCATTTAAGGCTAAGTGTTGGATTCTTAGTGATATGACAAGCAGGGGAGCAGAAAGTAAGCCAAACAAAAGCAAAAGGCCAAAGCAGCCATTGCTCATTTGAACTACTATTTCACAAAGCCAGGCAAAGTGGGACACACAGAACCCCCAGCACACTAGAGGCGGAGGCCAGATGACTGTAAGTTCACAGCATTCGCATGTAGAAGGCCCTGCTCAAAACAAATTAAACTTCAGACAGTTGTTGAAAGACAAACAGTACTTATCAACTATCCATGTAGTGAGGTAAAAGGCAAGCTATCTCTTTCCCAGACCCTGCCCTGCTTTTCTAAATGTCCCAACACGAACCTAGTGTCTTACCCCTAGCACACTTTGGTACTAGTTTCCTAAGTAAAATTCTCCTTTCTTGGGGAAAAGAGACCAGGTCTCATCAAAGCAGGAAGAAAATGACTTAACCTGATCCATAAAGTAAATACCTTACCAATAATCTCCAAAAGCAGACAGTAAACCATGTTAGCATGTTTAAATGTTCCTCAGTCACACTAGCCATGGCTTAAGTGCTCAGTAACCACAGTGTCTGGCAACTCCCACCTGGACTGCAAAGAAATAAATCCTTTTCGTCATTGCAGAAAGTCCTTTTGGAAAGCTCTGTTCGGGCTGCTTTAACAAAATACCATAAACTACATAAAATACATAAAGTTGACTGTCAATGCCAACTTCCACTGACCATTAAGAGTCCCCATGTCAGTGTTCGAAATAAATAGCGAAGGACAGAGGCAACACATAGCCTTGCCCTTGAACGAGGCCCTGAAACATCCAACCCAGCTTCCTACTCATCCCTTATGCTCAGTGGTTTTGGAGTAAAGAGCGAGTACTAACCACATGCATAGTTCATGCCAGCTAAAGGGAAAGCATTCAATGTGGACTTCTTACTTTCATATTCCATTAATTACATTGCAAAGTGTTTAAAAACTGTGTCAGGAAACAATTCATCACATGAGCTCCATCTCTACCTGCCAGCAAACAAATACCACTGGCATGCTTTCAACACAGCCAACACTACTCAGGCCCATTGGGGTGGGGGTGGGGGGCCCGCAAAGGGAGTTTTAGAACCCAGAAAAACTAAAATTAACCTGTAAGTGTGTGTCCCGATAATGAAGATTGATTGGATTGTAAGTCCTGCCCCTAATGGTACTACAAAAGCAGCCTTTTGACTCCAACTTGCCTCTAAGGCCTTCAGCTATGTGTTTCCCCTTGCTATGCCCCCAAGTGTTTGAACCCTGCCAAACTCACGTGCTGAACCCAATCACCGGAGTGTGAACTTTGGGTGGTAGGTCGGGTATGAAGGTAAGCACTCAGGAACGCAGTTGGTGTCGTGAAAACAATGCCAGAGAGCTCCCTTACCTCCTTCACTGCCACACAGCAAGAAGGTGCCGACTATGGACCAGAAGGCAGCCCTCACAGGACACCCAATCTGCAAGCACCTTGATCTCAGACTTCCTGGCCTCAAAAACTTGGTAAGCATCTACTGTTTAGAAGCTACTTAGTTTATGGTATTTTGTTAAAGCAGCCCGAACAGAGCTTTCCAAAAGGACTTTCTGCAATGACGAAAAGGATTTATTTCTTTGTAGTCCCCTGAAGTTGCCAGACACTGTGGTTACTGAGCACTTAAGCCATGGCTAGTGTGACTAAGGAACATTTAAACTTACAGTCACGTGTGGTAAGTGATTATGGCACAAAGACAGTTTCTATCATTACACAATGTCCCACCATTTACCTCTGCCTACACTGTGTCCAGAGTGCCCCTTCCCAACTTCAGAGGCTTACACTGTGTCCAGGACACCCCTTCCCGACTTCAGAGGCTACACTGTGTCCAGAGTGCCCCTTCCTGACTTCAGAGGCTACACTGTGTCCAGAGTGCCCCTTCCCCACTTCAGAGGATACACTGTGTCCAGAGTGCCCCTTCCCTACTTCAGAGGCTACACTGTGTCCAGAGTGCCCCTTCCCCACTTCAGAGGCTACACTGTGTCCAGGACACCCCTTCCCAACTTCAAAGGATACACTGTGTCCAGGACACCCCTTCCCGACTTCAGAGGCTACACTGTGTCCAGGACACCCCTTCCCGACTTCAGAGGCTACACTGTGTCCAGGGTGCCCCTCTCAACTTCAGAATCCCCCATCCCCATCTTCAGGATTCCTCATGGGGCAGCTGAGATAATCTTGTTTTTCTTTTCACTTCCTGTGCTCTTGCATAGAGAATTTATTGACCATTCTACTTCTGCATCCTCCGTTACACAGCGAGCTTAGCGAGGCATCACGTGAGGGACAAGAGAAAGAAAAGGAGAGGCTTACCCATGTGCAGTTTTAGTTAACTGTGTACACTGATGCGGTGCAGTGTGGGTCAATATCAGCCTGAGATGTACGATAATTCCATTAAGGGAGTTGGCATATCTATTACCTCTAGCATCTACCACTTCTTTGTTTTAAGCCATTCAAATCCTCTCTGCTCGCCACTTGGAAGTACACAGCTGCTGACCCCTGGTGTGCTACAGAGCATCAGAATGTGTTCCTCCCAGGCAGCTGCACTCCTGCACCCATTAACCAGCCTCTCCCCTGACAACTACTTATTTAAAAAATCTTTAAATCATGTATAAAAAATTCAAGATACACATAACTTAAAATATGCAGATGGTTGATGTTTATTTTACTTCTGTATTTAATCAATATTTATGAATTTCATGAATCAAATGGTAGATTAGTCCTATTTACATATCAGTGCTATTTCTATCTGAATTGTTCTAAGGAAACTTTAACGCCTGATACCAGCTATGAGTTAAACCTTTACAAACTATTTTCAGGATGCTGCATATACAAGATCTAATCTTTCAGTGGTGTAACCTTTCAGTGGTGTCTATGCTTCAAGTAAAACCTTATGCAAGTAAATTTCCGCAAACACTTACCTTTTCCTGGTATCGTCTTTCAAAGTATGCCATATCATCCTCGTCAGGTTTCCTTAAGGAAGAATTCTGAGTGCTTGGACCTGCTAATATGAGAAAAAAAAATCCAAGTTGTGCATTTATAACATTACATGTCCCCCAAAAGGAGATGGAGAGGAGGCAGAACTCCTTTATACCTAGTTTATTATTCAAGTAATAATAGTTTATTATTCAAACCAGAAATGGTCTAATGGTCCTCATATTAAATTCTTTCTTAGCAAGAATTCCATCACAAAACAAAAGTAATTTCCAGTAGCAAAAATTCTCCAAATATTCAACTGGCTCTTATTAAATAATACCACACAGCTATTCCATATGAGCAACCTAGAGTTAGGCACTGAGAGGTAGAGGTAGGAAGAGTTAAAACTAGAGGCAAGCCTAGGCTACCTATATAGCAAGTTCCAGGCTAGCCTAGGCTACAACACTGTATCAGAAAGTAAAACAGAGGGACAACAGATGGTTTGATCCTCCACATCCACACACACACACACACACACACACACACACACACACACACACCACACACAGAGCAAGTACTCCTCTGACCTCCACATCTACACCTACCACCACCACACACACACACACACACACACAAATACACTTATTTTCCAGACTGTAACTAGAAATCCATATTATACTTTATGAGATAATATTCAGTACTATGCACTACTGAGGCTGTCTATAGGCAACCACAGAAATGATACTAACTGCTTTGGAAAGTTCCAGAACTAAAATAGTTTTAGCCATCCCTCATAGTGTTTATTTTGTAAAATTAACCAATAGCTGCTTTATGTTCTGAAAGGAATTTAAACTTGTTTTTGTGATGTCCGTGTGAGTGCTAGGGGTTGGGTTGGACTCTCTGCATGGCCCCCAGGTTCCTCAGAATTGCAACATTCCCTCCAAATTGAAACATTGCCAGCAGGAGGGAGGGAGAGGCTTTTCCTCTACACCCTCGGAGGAAAATAAGAGGTAAACAAAAGGTCACCAGTGGGGAAAAACAAGAATTCCCAAGACTCTCCCAGCAGTGGAAAAAAGGAGTAAACAGTTGCTCCGGACAGAGACAGGCAAACTGTGGAAAGAGATTTCCGGTGTGTGCGGCTTTTCTGAGTTGAGGTCTTCCTGGTAATGCAACTGGTTTTGGGTTATCCCTGCTCCTCACCACACTCCTGTTAGTAACCCCAGTAAAAACTCATGAGTTCACTAAATTGAACACTGGTGCAATCCTTACTCTGGTCTGTTGCCTGGGTAGCAAATCCAAGTTCTATATTGTTACTACACCCAAAAATACTTGTAACTTCATTACCATCTGTTGGTGTTTGTGGAGAAGAAGTAGATGGCATTTGCCAGGCTCTTAGGAATGGGTGGTCCATGGCTGAAACTGGAGCATTCAAAACTTCAACCGAGGGTGTACCTGGAAACAGAGGATACGGAGAATGGAGATCAAATCTCTATTCATAAGGATAGAAGCAATTCATCACTTCTACTGTGAAGTAGATCAGAACATCAGCAGATCATTAGGAAAAACTCCAGTGCATTTTAGCTGGCTACAGTAGTACATGCCTATAATCCCATATTTAGGTAGTGAGACATTAGACTAGTTTGAAGAGCACATTGAGACCTCAACACACACACACACACACACACACACACACACACACACACACACATACACACACACACAAAAGCAACACCACCAAATACAAATAAGTAGACAAACAGGAATCTTTATTTTAAATTATTTTTATTTTCAGTGTATGGGTGTTTTGCCTGCATGTACGTCTGTCTAATGTGTATGCCTGGTGCCCAGGTGTTGGATCCCCTGGAAAAGGAGTTACAGACAGTTGTGAGCTGCCATGTGGATTCTGGGAATCAAACCCAGGTCCTCTGAAAGAGCAACAAGTGCTCTTAAACACTCAGCCATTTCTCCAGACCAAGGAATTTTTATTTTAAATTTTTATTTACCACACAAAGAAAAACATCGCTTTAAAAAAGTGTTTTTGCATTTCTCAGAAATTTTTCCCCTGAAGGAAAAAATGTTAGTTGCTACTGTAACTGTCAGGAAAGAAGTATCAGACCTAATGTAGTCATGAAACACTAAAACAAAGCTGAGCTTCTGATCCACTCCTTCCTAGAGAACCAGTGAGCTGCCCAGTGTTTGTCAACTGGACACAAACTAGAGTCATGGAGAAGAGAGAGTCTCTCCTGAGGATTGCCTTGATCACACTGTCCTGGGGGCACGTCTGCGGGATGCATCCTAATTAGAATGTTTGATGGGGCTGGAGAGATGGCTCAGTGCTTAAGAGTATTGCTCTTCCAGAGGATAAGTTCAATTCCCAGAACCTGTATCAGGTAGTTCATAAATGCCTGTTAACACCAGCTCCAGGGAATCTAACGCGCTCTCCAGGCCTCCAAAGGTACCTGTATATGTGTGGCTTACACACACATACACCAAAATAAAAATAATTTTTTCTGTTTTGTTTTTTTGAGACAGGGTTTCTCTGTGTAGCTTTGCACCTTTCCTGGAACTCACTCTGTAGCCCAGGCTGGCCCCGAACTCACAGAGATCCACCTGCCTCTGCCTCCCAAGTGCTGGGATTAAAGGCGTGTGCCACCATCGCCTGGCTTACCAGCTTAAATTTATTTTTAAAAAAAGAAATGATTGCCGGGCGGTGGTGGCGCAGGCCTTTAATCCCAGCACTCGGGAGGCAGAGCCAGGCGGATCTCTGTGAGTTCGAGGCCAGCCTGGTCTCCAAAGCGAGTTCCAGGAAAGGCGCAAAGCTACGAAGAGAAACCCTGTCTCGAAAAACCAAAAAAAAAAAAAAAAAGAAATGATTGGCTGGACAGTGGTGACACTCGCCTTTAATTCCAGCACTCGGAAAGGAGAGGCAGGTGAATCTCTGAGTTCAAGGTTAGCCTGGTCTACAGAGCGTGTTCCAGGACAGCCAGAGATGCACAGAGATATCTTGTCTCAAAAATAAAAAATCCTCCTACCTGAAGATCCTGGGTTGTATAAGGTAGATCAAGCCATGGGAAGCAAGCCAGAAAGGCATTCTTCCAGCCTCTGCTTCAGTTCCTGCCTCCAGGTTCCAGGGTGGCCTCACTCAAGGATGGATTATCACCTACAGCCCTTTCCTCCCCAAGTTGTTTGGGGGCAGTGATTTATGAGAGTTGACGGAAAAGCAAAGAAGGACAACCAAGTATGAAAAATGAAGGAAGTTCTTTCTTCAATGAACAAGGAAACATACACCACCCTCAAACTACAAACTACAAAGACCAATTGCTAAGGGCATTAACTCTTGAACCAAAAAGAAGGAAGCTACAGAGAAATATATAAAACCATCCTATCTCCCTCACAGACCTCCTCCTAGGAAATGAACTTTCAATCTAACGGGCTGACAAGCTAGTCTTAATCTCCTAAAGTGCACAGCACAGAAAACTGCTCATTCTTCCAATTCCTTCCCCTGGCTGTCTCCACCACTCGCTCCTGCGACTCTGGGGACACGGGAGGCTACAGCTGGGCCTGTCCATCCTCGCTTGCTGCATGGGTTCTGGTCTCCAGCATTAATGGCTGGCCTCATTTGTAATTTGGTCTGGTCCTGGTGGTCTCCCATTTGCTCTCATTGCAAGTGCAGATTCTACCATGCTCCGACGCCTGTCACTTCCCATCCTGAATCTTCCAGTGCTGGGGACCCACCTCCAGCTATGCTCTGGGTCACCTGAGTCCCACTACAACAGACTGCGTGGCGGACCCATCTCACAGCTCAGCTGTCTGCCAAGCCCTCCTGAGTGCTGGAAATTATGGACTGCTTCCACATCATAAAGGAATCAAGTCCCGGCCAGAGAGCACCGTTGTCTAGAACTCTACATGGCTCAGAGCAGAAGCTTCACCATCCCTGGGTTCTCCTTCAAACAGGACAGAAACTTCTGCATCTCCTCTCCTCACCCACCTTTCCTTAGTACCCCCTTCCCTCATGGGTTTTGGTGATTTGAGTAAGAACGGCTCATGTTTGAATATGTGTCCCCAGTTGATGAAACTGTTTGGGAAATATTAGGAGGTGTGATCTTATTGGAAGAGGTCTGTCACTGGGAATGGGCTTGGAGGTTTCAAAAGGCCATGCCATCCCCAGTTAGCTGTCTCCTAGTTGTGGCTCAAGATGTGAGCTCTCAGCTATTCCTACAGCCAGGCCTTTACTCCCCCACCATGGACTCTAACCCTCTAGGACAAGGGCCAAGATGAAAAGTTTTCTTTCTTTACACTGCAGTGACTTGAGGGATAAATATTAGAAAGGCCAAGATGCCAGTTTACCACCACTATTCAGATGGTTGGAAAACTACTAATAAAAGGATTGGAAACAGTGCAGGAGAGAAAGGCAAATATATCATTTGCAAACTATACTGAAAATCCATCTAAAACTCCCAAGTTTGAGATCCCACATGATAGAAGGACTCCAAAAAGTTGTTGTCTGGGCTCCACATGTGCTCTCATACATAAACACACATGCCTACATATATACACACACAATACATAAATGTAATTTTTAAAAATTTTTTTTTAAAGATTTATTTATTTATTATGTATACAGAAGAGGTCGCCAGATCTCATTACAGATGGTTGTGAGCCACCATGTGGGTGCTGGGAATTGAACTCAGGACCTCTGGAAGAGCAGTCGGTGTTCTTAACCTCTGAGCCATCTCTCCAGGCCCAATTTTTAAAAATTTTTAAAGATTACATAGAAATCATAAGAACTGTGTGGGCCTTCTAAAAAAATAATTTCAGAATTCCACTTGTCTGTAGAGAAAGGCCAAAATAAATGAAGATAAAATATTATAAATTACCAGTTCTTTCTATATTAATCTGCACATTCAATGTGCTATTAATTAAAATATTGCAAAGTTTTTATTTAAAAAATTGGGCCAAATTTATGAAAAAATTTAAAAATAGGCCAGGAACATTCTGAAATAGTAAAATTAAATCATAAATGAATTCATTTATTTACTCTGAGCCTACAATAATGGAAATAAAATGGTCATACAGAAAGAGACACGAATGAGGCAGACCTAGGAGTAGAGAGCAATCTCTAGGCTTCACCCAGTCCTACTAGCTGATGAGGAAGAGCAGCAGGTATAACGTCTCCACTCCTCACGTGTAAAACAGGAAAGACAGCTTACCCCCCAGACTTGCTATAACAGAATAAATGAGATCCTGAGAAGTGGTTGGAACAACTTAGAGCAGTACAAAGAAAGCTTCAACCTTCATCATCGTTTCTGCACTTGCACTTGGGTTTTCTGAAGCTGTTACAGGAACCTAAGAAAATCCTGTACATTCAATCTACAGAAAAATTATGATTATATAAAATAAAAAAATATATAACAGAATCATAATTTTGACAGATGAACACAAACAAGAGGAGTATTAGATATCAAAGCCTACCATGACACAATAAAAAACTGAGTATACGTGATACTGGCACACAACAAGTCCGGACAGGCTATGGCAGCATCTCTGATCATTTGAGAAAGAGTGGCAGCCATCAATCTGAACAAAAACTGAGTTAGATGTAATATCTCACATGTTCATAAAAATAAATTCCAGATTCATGAAAAAGAGAAACTATATATTAAGATAAAATGAAGAGATGTACATTTATAAAAATCAAAATGAGGCCGGGCGGCGGTGGCGCACACCCTTAATTCCAGCACTCAGGAGGCAGAGCCAGGCGGATCTCTGTGAGTTCGAGGCCGGCCTGGTCTACAGAGCGAGATCTAGGATAGGCACCAACACTACACAGAGAAACCTTGTCTCAGAAAAAAATAATAATAATAAAAATGGGAAAAAATGGAACAGGAAAACCTAGTTACAAACTTAAAAAAAAAAATTTAACATTAGGAGCTGGGGAGATGGTTCCTGTTAGAGAGTGAGCGCCTGCTGCTCTTCCAAAGGATGTGAGCTCCGTTCCCAGCACCATGGCAGCTGGCTCACAAGTGCCTGTGACTGCAGCTCCCGGGGATCTGCCACCTTCTTCTGGCCCCCACAGGCACACAAACACATAAATAAGAATAAAATAACATTTTTAATGTTAAAATCAAATGGTAAATGACATTAGAGAAAAATATCGGCAAAATAAACACAAGATTATTAGTTACATTAACATTTAAAGGACTTGATATAGGTCAGTGAGAAAAGATGGAAAAGGAAAGAAAAGGGAAAATGGAGCGGGGAGAGGAGAAAGAGCAGGAGCGTTACAATAGCAAGTCGCACACAACGGAGTAACAAGGAACTATATCATATCAAACAAGTGTCATCCAGCTACTTCAATAAACAGGGGCATGGACTCAGGTTTGGATTAAGTATTGCACACAGAATCATCTTTTCTTTGGTGTTTTCTATAACAGTATGTTGTATAGTGCAACAGGTTTTTAAAAATAAAAACCAAATAAGGGAACTTTTTCTGGAAAAAAAAAAAACATGACTATAAACTGCTAACTAAGGCCAGGCAATTGTGGCACAGGCCTTTAATCCCAGCGCTCAGAAGGTTCAAGTCCAGCATGGTCTACCGAGTGAGTTCCAGGACAGCCAGGACTGTTACACAGAGAAACCCCGTCTCAAAAACCAAAACAAAGGGGTATCATTACTGTTGGTGCACCTCGTGCCAAGCTCACACTTCAATGTTTTCACTTACCAATGCCGCTGTCATCCAAGCGCATGTAGCCTTCTGCCAATGAGCTGAAACCTGTCAGACCTCCCATGGCTGCGTAAGGAACATCCTGTCCCACTGGTTTTCCCTGAGCCAGCCTTTCCTGTCGTGTTTCCACCACTGTGTCATGGGCATACGCGGGCTGGCCACAGGGGCAAGTGAAGCAGCTGCGGAAGCCTGAACACTTGAAGCCTGAATTAAGACACCAAGGGCAAAATGTTAAGAGTAAACACTAAACCGCCCACCCTAACACATTCATCTTAGCCAAAGCCAGCTAAGGGTAGGTCCTCTGACCCTGGATCTCTTATCTCCAGCCACTGTTACTCTTACAGATGCTGCAGTGGTTCAGGGGGTGCACACTGAAGCCGTGGGGGGGGGGGGAATGTTTCAAAAACCAACTGGGCCCAAAGGACACTAAGGTAAAAACTGGAGTGCCAGAAAATACAGATCCTCTCCTCAAAAGCTACATTAGCACTGAGCACTGTGGTGAATTCCTGGAAGCTAAGCACCCTGAAGGCTGAGACAGGAGGATCACAACTCTCAGGCCAGACTAGTCTACACAGCAAAACTCTGCCTCTAAAAAATGAAATAAATAAAGGCTGGAGAGATGGTTCAGTGGATTAAAAGCACATACTGTTCTTGCAGAAGACCTGGGTTCAGTTCTCAACACCTACATGGCGGCTCACAACTGCCTGTAACTCCAATTCCAGGGAATCAAATGCCCTCTTGCCCTCTTCTGGCTTTTACCAGCACCGGGTGCATACACACACACACACACACACACACACACACACACACACACACACACACACACACTTTTTTAAAGCAGCCATATTGGAATGGAGACCAGAATATATAATGCAAAATCTTCACCTGCTCACATCACTTATACCTGTGTACGGGAACCAAAGCTCCTAAATTTTATACAACTAATTCCATCCATACTTGGCAGATGAAACACATTTACTCCTGCTATTGTCAGTAAAAATGTTTCTCCAGTTGAGTATCCTTTATCCAGAATGCTCAAAGTCAGAAATGCTCCAAATTTGTTTTTGAATTTGTAATTGCAACATGTAGAATTTACTGGCTGAGCACACATAATCTGAAATGTTTGTCAGGTTCTTGCATCTTTTTTACTTATAAAATCCCTCTTTTAAAAGTCTGTAAAGAATAAATTTAGGGCCATGGGTGTCGCTCTGTGGTAGAGGGCTTGCCTAGCATTCCTGTGACCTTAGGGTCAATCCCCAACACCAAAACCCACACCACAGCAAAAAGGCACCAGGTTGATTAAACTCTCATTATTAAAAACATTGTTATCATCTCCAGGTTCATTTATTTTATTTTATGTGTGTGAGTGCTTTGCCTGAATGTCTGAATGTGCACAGTGTCTGTGCCTAGAAATGGCTGTAAGCCCTCACAGCGGTGCGGGACCTGAACCGGGGACCTCTACAAAACCAGTCAGGGTTTTCACTGCGGAGCCATCCCTCCTGTTACTGACACTTTTAGTCAGAGCTGGAGAGACTGGCTGCTCTTCCGGAGGACCTGGGTTTAACTCCCAGCACCCACACGGCAGCTCACAACCAGCTATAACTGCAGTTCCGGGAGCCTGGCACCCTCCTCTGGCCTCCACATACACCAAGCACACACGTGGTGCACAGATGTGCATGCAGACAAAGCACCCATAACACCTTAAATTAAACTCAGTTTAAAACTTTAAAATAAAGCGGTGTCTAGTAATTCTTTAAAATCTATCCCTATTACTTAAATTATTTAAATTCTAGAACACTGAAGTTTGTTATTATAAATCATACCAAGGACTGAGTATCTACCCATTGAAATTTGCTTTGTAGCTAACTAAACTGTGACATAAATTCATGAAGTATTTAACAGAGAAATTAAAGCAGTCTGCAACTGTGCATGCTGGAACTCACAGGCGTTGCATATGAAGCCAAGTGCAGGGCTGTGCTGGTCAGCAAAGTGTTTGCAGCTGCAGCGAACAGGCTGGGTACCATTCTGAGGGACGTACTGGTAAGCCTTGCATCGGCACCCCGCCACCTGGCAAGGCAGGTCAATGGGGCGCTGCTGTGGAAGCGATTCAAAGTCCGTTTTATGCTGTTTATACCTTTAAAAAATAGAAACACAAACACAATTTGGATAGTGTCAAACATTACATAACTGTCTATTAAATGCACATGTAATTATTTTGAATCTGTTTTTATCTTTCGTTATTTGTATTAATAAGGTAAAAGTAACTGCTTCCACACTCAGCATTTCTATCCGCTTTAGAATGTAGTGTTCACTTATTCTAATTTTAATTTTTGGTTATTTAAGAAGTTTCACAATCGTATAAAGAAATATAATTCCCTTAAAATACTGATCATTGCAGTTCTTTAGTCTGGATGAAAAAGTTCCTTTTGTGGGGACTACTGGAGATCAAACCCAAGGCATCATGTATGTTCAGCAGATGTTCCACTACTGAAGTATAACCAGTCACACAAAACAGCTCTTTATAAAAAAAAAAAAAAAAAAAAAATGCTTTCTATCAAGTCAGGTGTAGCGGTATATACTCGTAATTTTAGCATTCAGAAAGTGGAGGCAGGCAAGAGGATCATGAGTTTGAGGCCAGCCTGGACTGTACAAGAAGACACTGTTAAAACACTCAGGTGTGAGGGAAGTGGAGAGATGGCTCAGAAGGTAAAGGTGTTTGCTGCCAAGACTGATGACCTCATTTTGATAACCACTCCCCTTAAGTTGTCCTCTGCAGGACATCCACACTGTGTCGTGGCATGCCTGTGTGCTGGGCGTCCTCCCTCCCTCCCTCCCTCCCTCCCACACACACACACACACACACACACACACACACACACACACACACACACACACGGTAAAATTATATAAAATTCCTAAAGCTAGGTAGAATGCTCACCTACTATGTACAAGGCAGTGGGTATCCTAGCACACCAAGAAAACTAAAGAGGCCTGTGAGATGCCTCAGTGGGTTGAGGGACTTGCTGCCAAGCTGAATGTCTTGAGTTTGATCTTCTGGACCCACTGACCAATGTACCACACATACATGAAAACATACATACATACTGAACAAATATAAATGTCAGGTTTTTTAAAAGAATGGTTTTCATCAAAGTGCATCAATTAAATTTATTTTTATGCTTTGCTATCTAAACCTGAAATAAGTTTAATAAAATTTTAATATTATTTACTTCACTATAATTTAATTTCTAACTTTCAATATCAAAATGAACTAATGGTATTGATAAAATATTTTTAAGTTGTATGTTTTTTAGCTTTGCATACACATAAAATAATCTTTTAATTTTTGAAAAGAGTATTACAAAACAACCAATTCCATTTGGTATTTCAAAAAACTTTTAAAATTCCATCCTTTCACCCTAGAAATTCATTTTGGAAAATACACCCTAAGTTAATAATTGCACATATAGATAAGGGTTTGGTATAAAGGCAGTGTTAGCAATAGTACATGTACTAGTAGATATCGATTATAAATAGGCATCTTTATAAGCATAAAAGAATGGATAAATCCATTACTTGAGAGCAGTCTTTTTATCTAAACAGAATAGGTATTTATCTAAACAGTAGGTGAAACTCTGTTTAGATAAAAAACCTTCATAGAATCACAGTTCTACATATAAACTATTTAGAAGTTGGGCTGGTTAAAGCCAAGGAAAGGACAGGAATTGGAGTCCCCACTTCTGTAACCTGCCTTTCTGCCTGGCACACCCGAGTCTGCCTCACAGCTTCAAGAACAACGGAGAACAGCTCTGGACGAGCTGGGACATGGAGGAACTGCTAAAAACCTGCCTGAGGTTACTAACAGCCACACGCACACACACTTCCTGTGGTTTGTTCATGAAAAAACAGTGCTATGTTTTAATGCATGCACAGAACATACAACTAAATGAACAACGCAAAGAGAAAAATTATACAGATAAAATAGAAAGTACTAACAGCAGCAGGCTTTGGGTGGTGAGCGCTCTACTTTTTATATATTCCCAGTTTTCCTTAGTAACTATGTTTCACTTTAGTAACAGAAAAACGTATGTTAGGTAGGTATTTCATTAAGTGATGAATACCACAGAGAAATTTCTTCATCATAATTGGGTTGGATTTTGAGGGTCATTTACAGCAACACAAATTCCACATAGAAACTGGCATTAGATGTTCACAAGCATAAATTATAAGACAGCACAAATTTGCCCAGCCCCTTCAGTTTTGACAGATATCAACATGTACCCATCATCCTCCAGTCCTCCACAGTGCTTTTAGTTATGGTGTCTAGGTAAGTCTGAAGCCAATCTATACACATTACTCATCCTAGCAACTGCCTAACAACTTCTGGCAAACTGCAACTCTGTAAATAGCAACTAGATAAAGAGTCTCTCAGAAGGAGCCTTGGAAGTTGCTGTTGAAGCAGGGCAGTTCCCCTTCAATGAATTCCTTAGAACAAAAAGTAAAACCTGGTCCCTAAGAATAGCTACTAGGTTCGGTGGTTTCTTCGTGTTGTACTTTTTACAAAGCAGTTTTGTCATTTTGATATTTACAACTGTGAAGTGACAGAAAAATCCGAAGGAATGCACATGCACAGCAATTCAAACAACACACATATGACTGGCCCCTCAAGTCTCTTCTCTCAGTGATACTCGTGAACACAACCATTTGAAGTCGAAAGAATTTTGTATTTTTCATTTGTTCAAGGTATGGGGCCAGGTATGGTGGTCACACCTGTCAACCCCACACTGGGGAGAAAAGAGAACATGAGTTTAAGACTCCTTAGGATTACACAGACAGTTCCAGGCCAGCCTGGGATATATAACGGGACGCTCTCACAAAGAATTGAGCAAACAAATATAGAATGAAAAACACCAACCCAGCACTCCCTGAGGGTGTGAAGAGTGATTCGTAACCCTGAGGAGAAGCTGGTCTACTGGTGGATGAGTAGCCTGACCAGCACGGGTCAGTGTGACCAACCAGTTCCCACCTCTCTAATAATGGGGCCAGTGGGTGCTACTTTCACCACACTGAAAGACCCCTGGAAAAACAAGACTCTGTTTCTCCCAACGGCAAGACAAGAGTTGCTCATGGTGACAGACTCTGTGACGAGTTCTAACACAGCATGAAAGTTTATTACCCGTTCCAAAACCTTTGCGTAGTTCTGGTGCATAGTTACGCAAATGTCGACATCAAATGTTTCTTAATCCTCACACTGTTATTTCTAGGAGGAAGACGTGTTTTTGCTCTAGCTCTCCTTCTTAGCCTTCAGCAAATCAGCGATGGGGTGGGCTGGAGAGACGGTTCACCAGTTAAGGTGCACCCTGCTCCTGCAGTCTGTTTCCCCACACCTACCTCAGTTGGCTCAGATCCATGTGTAACCACAGCTCCAGGCAGATCTGATGCCTCCGGCCGGACAGTCACCTGCACTCACGTGCACATACCCACCCAGAGACACACTCCCATACGTAAGTAAAACCGAAATTTTTAACAAGTAAATGATACAATATCTTACCTATGTGTACAAAAACACGGTGTCTCTGGGCCAATAAGTTTACAGTCCATTCCTGTTGGTGACCGCCAGCTCACAAATAACCTGTTCTGTAAACGCATGGGTAAGACTTTTTTCTTGTATTCCTCATACTCTTCAGGAGTAAAAGGTTTCCCTCCATCGTCCTCACCAACAATTCTACAACAACAAGAATTGCTTTTAACCCTTGAGTATCTTCCAGGCCCAAAATATTCAACTCTAAAATTAAATTATTCTTGTATATTTAAATGAAAAGTGGCTTTGACTTTGGATTTTTTACTTTCAACATAAATCATAGCCAAACTGCAAACAGTAACAATAACACTTTCGCTTCTGATGGAGTTCAGGCTGTGCCAACCCTCCCCCCGGATTTGGCAAGCACCTTCTTGAGCAAACAGCCAAAGCAGGAATGCCACTCCCACCATCCCAAATATTCTTCCCTGAAACAGGTCCCTCATTCCAGGAGGAGCCTCCCTCTACCTACGTACTAGCCTCCGAAGACACAACAGCACTGAGAAGCATCTAGACCAACAGGCCTTGCTGAGTTCCCTAGTTCCCTGCTGTCCTCTGGTCCTTTCACCCTGCTGTCCTTTCTCTCTGGCTGCCCACCATCCCACAAACCAAGCATAACAGCACAGGATTCCTGTGTGTTTCTTTTCTTTCACTCCCATGCCACATAGCATTTGACTCTGTAAGCGTTTCCCTTGCAACCTTCCTTTTATTTTAGGTACTTTAGCCATGAACCCTGTGATGTCTAAGAAAAGAAATCTTTTCTCCATTCTCTTCCCATATAAAAGATTGGAGGTGACAATGTTTGAACATGGATTTACTGATTATGGTGTCATATAAAAGATTGGAGGTGACAGTGTTTGAACATGGCTTTACTGATTATGGTGTCTGACTGAGAAACGTCCCCCACAGGTTCTTGCATCTGAACACTTAGTCCCCAGTTGGTGGCAGTGTTTGGTGAGGTCGTGCAACCTTTAGGAGATGCAGCCACGCTGGAGGAAATGCATGGCTCAATGCCAGCTTTGAGAGATTGTAGCTTTTCTCCACTTCCTGTTCTGTCTCTCTCTGCTTCCTGTGTACAGACAGAAACTGATCAGCCATCTTCCTGCTCCTGCCACCATGCCATGCCAGGCCATGCCATCCCTGCCATAATGGACCCATAAGCCCAAATAAACCCTTCCTCCTTGAACTTCTTTTGACCATGGTATTTTATCACAGCAACAGAAAAGTAACTATACAGTGCTCAGGGTTTATCAGTGGATTACCACATACTCATCTCAATCTCTACTTTAGTTTTGAAGCAAACATTCATTCCTCTCATTAAAAGCTAGAGCCTAAACCAGATGTGGCGCCCTCCTGCAATCCCATCCAAAATGGTTAAGGCAGGAAGATGAATTAGAGGCCAGTCTGGAATACACAGCAAGACCCTGTCTCGAGAAAATAAAAATCTTGAGCTTAAGCTTCTAAAAGTTATGTTTTCATCCTCTTAAAACAGTACCTAAAGCTGGGCACTAGTGGTTCACATCTTTAATCCCAGTACTCAGGAGGCAGAGACAAGGAGACCTCTGTGAGTTTGAGGCCAGCCTGGTCTACAGAGTGAGTTCCAGGACAGCCTGAGCTACACCAGAAACCCTGTGTAAACCAAACAAACAAACAAAACAGTACCTAAAATCAAACCTCTATCAGTGCAGAAGCCAGCTTAACTTCTTGGCATAGCTGACCTCTGGGCAAGCTGAAGGTCATGTGAGCTCTGAAAAGATGCTTTGATTACACAAGCTCAAACTCATGGTATATAATGGATGATCAGATGTTTTGAGGTTTCATAAGATTCCAAAATCTTATGAAAAAATATCAGCCTGCACTATGTCTATGGGGAAAAATTGCTTTGCTAGAAGAAAGAAAAAATACAATTAAAAACAATTTTAAAGTTGTTCAAAGTGGAAGAAATTTCTATTTGAAAACATCTCTCTTTAATTACTTTTTTTCTAAATAAATTTATTTATCTACTTATTTTATAACCTGGCTGAAGTGTTTATAGAATGTCTATATGATTTTTTGAACATTACATACTTTTCCATGTTTTGAAATACCTGGTTGCAGCAGAAAATAGAAATCCAGCCTTTATTCCCAGCACTCAAGAGGCAGAGGCAGGTGGCAGAGTCTGAGTTCAAGGCCAGCCTGATCTACAGAGCAAGTTCCAGTACAGCCTGAGTTACACAGAGAAACCCTGTCTTGAAAAACTAAAGAAAAAAAGAAAGAAAAGTAAATAGAAACCTAATTCATAAGCTATACAATCAGCACAATCTTCTCCCTTGTTTTTTAATAAGCTTTTTAAAACTTGCAAATAAAATTTCATACACTAAAATTAACTAGACCCAAAGCCTATATATCTCAATGAATTTCTACAATGTTAGAATGGCCATTCAGAAGCTGTGCAGCTTCACATTAGATTTTATACTTACACCATGGAATATATTTCTGTGCACTTACCTACCAAGAAAACAGAAAATCCACGACAGAGTCAGAACTAGAAAAACAGCTTTCTACCCTCCTTCACTGCTGCGCCCATCACCTGCACTCAGTCCTTCCTCTTCCCTAATGCTTACCCTTTCTGGTTCTCTCCTTTATCTGCTTGGATTTTTCTCTCCTTTGCTTAAACATTCTAGATACACAATAGTTTTTAAAAATGAACTTATTCTGAGATAAGGTTTTATTATAGCCATCAAAAAATATCAATAGTACCAAAAAGATCTTAGGTCAAATGCAGATCTTTCAAGTAAGAGAGTATTGGTATTTAAATTCAAACTGTATTGTATATCCATCATCTCCAGGGTGCCTTGTTCACCTGCTGATTTGAGTCAGTGAGTCTGAGTGAGTCTGAGGTCCTGCTTTCCTAGTAAGCCAGGTGAGGTGGTTGCCAGGGGCCCCACCTTCTGAAACTTTGAGTAGAAAGGCTGTATACTCCCTCTAGACGCCTCCCACCCAAGGCAAGTCAAAACTAAAGAAAACTTAGGAAGAAGCTTTTTGTTTGACATTTTTTCTGTGTTTGCAGAACCCAGGGCCTTGCACTCATTAGGCAATGGTTCCACCACTGATGAGCTACATTTCAGTCCTTAGTTTTCCAGCAGGTTCTCCATACGTGGTTTAGACTGACTTTGAACTCACTTCCCTCCTAGACATTTCCTTGGAGCTGAAATTACAAGCCTGGGCCGCTGACAGTAGGAAAGTTCGTTTCTGATGGAGATCATTTATTTGGTGGAGACTTCTCCAAATAATCCTCTTATATCAAGTAGCCCAAGTCCTCGTGTTTCTCAAAGCTTGTTGATGGTAAAGGACATGATAATCTCTCTTAAAGGGATATGACCCATGACATTTAGGCTTGCAAAAACTAATTTTCCATGAGCCTGTCCCTAGCATTTTCTGGACAAGAGAAAAGTGAAAGTCCAATCCATATTTGTAAATATGTAAGTCTTCAGTCAACCTCAGGATCAAGTGGCTTCCTCCCAGGGAAGAGCCAGAAAGCCAAAACGAAATGACGCCTGCTATAGGTAAGAGGGTTAAGTATGTGATGGGTGAACCTGCCACGAAGACTCTGTGCTGGCTAGTTTTATGCCAACTTGACACAAACTAGAGTCATATAGAAATATAAAATCTCAGTTGAGAAAATACGCACGACTAGATTGGCCTGTGGGCAACCCTGTAGTTAGAAGGCTTGCGAAGACCCAGCTCACTGTGGGTGGTGCCACTCCTGGCGGTATCTAGGGTGCTCTAAGAAAGCAGGCTGAGCAAGCCATGAGCTGCAAAGAAGTAAAGAGCGCCCTTCCATGGGCGCTGCATTAGTTCCTGCCCTGACTTCCCTGGATGATGGACTACAAGCTGTAAGATGGAATAAATCCTTTCCTCCCCAAGTTGCTTTTGATTATGGTGTTTTATCACAGCAATAGAAACCTAAGACAAATGTAATCAAGCTGTTACATCTCACATTTCCTGTTCAAAATCTTCAGAAAGTTCTAAACATTACCCAAAACTACACTAATGGGGCAGTATGCTGGGAAACCCAACCGCCTAGATGCCCCCAAATGACTTGGGGAAAGCTCCATACATTTGGGCTTTTCCTTTGTTCGCACATATCCTCCTGCCATGACGTCTACAATCCCCATTTTCCCAGTTTCCCAACTGTCAAAAGGAAACCTTTCTTAGGAGATGGGGATTTGGAGGCAGATGTATCAGCCTTTGTGCGTCCTAGAGTCAAAGAAGCAAGCATCTGTGTCCCCTGCTGTGGGAGAGGAGCCTGGGAAACCAAGTCCTAAAACCATCTCCCTGGGCTGGGGAGTGCATTCGGCAGTTCACTCCTTACCTATCACTGAATAAATGTGCAAACTGATGTCTACTAACTTTTATAGATCTCGAGTGCTCAATATGTAATTCTTCAACTGTCACTAAGAGAAACAAAAAAGCACCCACTATAAAAGTAGTTAATCATCCCTCTTGTCAGGGGAGACTCTCAAGTGGTCTCGGAAGAGACTCATTACAGACTAGAACCGTGTGTCAGCACATTTAATTACAGAAGATGAAATGTGAAATCAATCCAGGCCTCTCGAACAGCCCAGGAACGGACTCCCGAGCCCTAAAAGCGCTCGCCTGCCGGGTCCCTGCTCGCCCCACTGTGCTCCGACGACGAGACCCAGCCAGGAACCGAAGTCCGCACCGAGGAGCAGAGTCAAGGCCTCACCTCTTGTACTCCAGGTACTCGTCTACCGCCTCCGCGCCGCCGGGAGGCAACGTCAGCCGCTCCATGGCCGTGGGAAGGGAAAGGAGTCCTAGCCTCGAGCCCTGAGCCCGCCCTGCAGCAGCCAGGTAGGATCCGCCCGACCTGCGCGCGAGCACCAGCCTCGCCGCCAGAAACAGCCCGGCCCCGCCCCTCTTAGCTCCGCCCCCGCCAAGGCCCCGCCCCTAACCCTTTGCTCGCGCCTAGCTCCTCCCCTTAGTTCCGCCCTCGTCCCTCCTCTCGCTTAGCACCGCCCTCTCCCCTCAGCTCCTCCCCTACTAGCCTCGCCCTCTCCCCTGGGCTCCGCCCCACTTAGTTCCGCCCTCCCCGCCAGAGGTGCACCCCTTCCTAGCGCCGCGCCCTCCCCTTGCACCCTGCCCGTCCTAGCGCCACGCCCCTACCTTATCCCGCGCCCTCCCTAGCCACGCCCTAGTCTGACCCGCCTCGCCCTCCGGCTCCACTCCTGGACTGACCAGGCCAAACCTCTCCACCAGCCCTCGAGATTGCCCTTGTGGCCCACTAGTCTACCTGGAGCACCTCTTTGGTCCTTGAGCCTAACTTAGCTTGAGCATCACCGCCTGACCTGGTTACCTGAGGCCTTACAAGCTGGCTTCTCCTGCATAGGCCCAGGCTGCAAAAGAGATGCTGTTTGCTCCCTTCCTCAAACTTTATGCTTGTCACTGCTGCATTCCCAGAGACTCCTTAAGAACAAGGAAGTCCAGTGCCTGGCTGGATACAATGGGTTCACAAAATCGGGCTTTGTACACCTCTTTTCATTTCTTCTGTCTCTTGAAATCTAAGTGGTCTTGGAGAGGTGGCCACTTGGAGCGTTTAGGCTAAGAGTGCTTGCTGAGCAATCCTGAGTACCGGAGTTCAGAACCCAGCACCCACATAATGAACCAGACATCTCACAGACGCTTTACACCCCAGTTTCAAGGTGGGCAGAGACAGGAAAATCAAAGAAGCTTGGGGGCTTTCAACCTAGCCAAGAAAACTCCAACCCTGGGTTCAGGAAGTGACTATCTAAAAGGACTAGATGGAGAGTGGTAGAGGGAAACACCAAACACCCACCTCTCTGTGCTTAGAACATGTGACAAGAAAAACTGTTCCCTGAAGAAAGTAAATAACAGGTCTGAGAAAGAACAAATGGAAACAATTCAGTCTCGTTCTTGCCGCCTGGGTTGGAACCCGGCGCCTTTCAAGTTCTACCTAAGTAAGCACTATACCACCAAACTATACACCTGGCTCCAAGCTAAGTCTGTTTAACGTTTTAAAATAAACTTCATGCGTTTTATATAAAGATGGAATTATCATCCATTAGTAATTTAGCCATAAGTTGCTCTGGCTAGCTGGAAAGGGGTAAGAAATCCACCATTACTCAGGAGAAAAGAATCCTTGAACATTGAAGCTCTCTGGGGACCAGATTTAGCATCCTTTGTTAATCATCTTGCTTACCAGACAATTGCATTTTTACAGATTCAAGGTTCACAGCAACTTGCATGCTCCAGGTCAGTTGTGGCTGTTTCCCAACAGCGTGTTTCCACTTCAGCGCACTACCACCTGAGCTATGTCTTGGGACCAGAATGATAATGATTTTGAGAAAAGGTCTCACCATAAAATCACGCCTGATTTAGAACTCACTATGGTGTCCAGGCTGGTTCACACTTGTATTCCTCCTGCCTCTGCTTCCCAGGTGCTGGGAATGGAGATGTTCTTTAATGTTAAATTTCTTAATGTTGGTAATGTTGTTAGCCTTTCACTCAAACCCTTTTTTAAATTTTTTTTTTTTTTTTTTTTTTTTTTTTGGTTTTTTCGAGACAGGGTTTCTCTGTGTAGCTTTGCGCCTTTCCTGGATCTCGCGCTGTAGACCAGGCTGGCCTCGAACTCACAGAGATCCGCCTGGCTCTGCCTCCCGAGTGCTGGGATTAAAGGCGTGCGCCACCACCACCCGGCTCTTTTTTAAATTATTTTTAATTAGCATACAATGTATTGGATTTCCATAAGGCTTTTTAATACACCATTAGTTTTGTTAATTCACCCCTACCCCTACCCTCGTCCCTACTGAAACCTTTAACTTCCAGTATCCCCCCTCTACTTTCATATCACGTGTTCTACTATCCCCTCTCCACATTGAGGCCTCTTTCCCTCCCCCTCTTATGGGATCTTTCTGGCTTACTGACCTCTACAGACACTCCATATTAAATACATAAATATGTAAGTTTGAAACTCAGATTCACATTGAGAAATAACATGTGGCATTTGTCTTTCTGGATTACCTCACTTAGTTCAATATTTTACTGTTCATTTTCCTGCAAATTTCATTTTTCTTCCCAGATGAATAAAATCCCATTGTGTATATACACCACATTTTCATTGTCCATGCAACAGCTGATGGACATCTACTCGGATTCCATTTCCTGGCTGCTTTGCATAGAACCACAATAAACATGGGTGTGCAAGTGTGTCTATAGTAGGAGATAGAATCCTTAGGATCTGTGTCCAGAAATAGTGTAGCCGGGTCATATCGGAGTTCTGTTTTCAGCTTTTTGAGAAACCTCCACACTACTTTCCCTAGTGGGTGCAGCAGTTTACACTCACATCAAGAACAGAATGGGCTCCTCTTCCCCACATCCTTGCCAATATTTGTAGTTTGTTTTCTTCATGAACAGCAATTCTGAGTGGGGTGAAAAGCAATCTCAAAGTTGTTTTAGTTTCCACTTCCCTGGTGGCTGAGGAGATTAAGCGCTTTTCAGAGTATTTATTGTCCGTGTGTGTGTGTGTGTGTGTGTGTGTGTGTGTGTGTGTGTGTGTGTTTGGATTATCAAGACAGGGTTTGTCTGTGTAGTTCTGACTGTCCTAGAACTCGCTCTGTAGACCAGGCAGACCTCGAACTCAGAGACCCGCCTTCCTCTGCCTCCCGAGTGTGGGGATTAAAGGTGGCCTGGCTCCGTTTGTGTTTCTTGAGAACTCTCTGTAGCCCGTGTACTGATTGGGTTGTGTGTTTTTTTTATGTTTAGTTTATTGAGTTCTTTATATACTCTAGATATTAACCCTCTGTCAAATGCATTGCTTGCAAAGATTTTCTCCCAATCTATATGCACTCTCTTAATCTGATTGTCAATTTCCTGTGCTCCCGTTTTTAATTTTATGAGATCGCATTTATTGATCATTGGCCTTCCTGGGCAATCAGAGTCCTGTTCAGGAAGTCCTTACGTATGCCTCTATCTTGAAATGTACTCCCTGCTTTCTCAGCTATCCATTTCAGAGTTTTAGGAATGACTCGGAGGTTCTTCATCCATTTCGAGTTGTTTCATGCAGAGTGAAAATAAGGACCCAGTTTCATTCTTTTGCATGTAGACACCTATTTTCTAAGCACCATTTGTTGAAGATGCCGTCTTTTCTCCATTGTGTATTTTTTACATCTTTGTCAAAAATCAGATAGTTCTTGGTTGCATGGCCTTGTTTCTGGGCTTTCTGTAGGGCAGGATGTCCGAGCCCACTTCTAGGTGTAAGCACAAAATCCCACCAATCTCAGTCTCAGTAATCTCCACCCTGGAAATCTCCACACTGGAAAATAACTCCCCTCCAAAAAAAAAAAAGATATACGCCTGCCTTCTGTGCCTTCTGTTAAGTTCTTTGCTGCTGCTTCTGTCTCAGGCAGAGGCAGCCACGCTCTTGTGTCTTTCCCAAGAAATGTCTTACGTGAGGTTTGTTGTGTGGCGTGATTTTATGGTATTCCTTGGCTCCCAACTGCCAGGATACCTTTTCAGAGCCGCAGCACTTACCTAGGAGAAACCTCTCCCCTCAAAGCTGTAACAGTTCCTTTGGGGAAACCTTTCCCCTCAGAAGTGTGACATGTGTGTTGGGAATTTCTCCTCAGAACTGCAACCCTTGTGTTGCAGAAACCTTTCCCCTCAGAGTTGTAACACTCACATTCTCTATTTTAATCCACTGTTCGACACGTCTGTTTTGGTGCTGGTAGCATGCCGCCTGTGTTACTATGGCTATGTAGTATAACATGAAATCCGGCATAGGGATACTTCTAGCAGTTTTCTTTTTGCTCAGAATTTCTTTGGCTACCTGGAGTCTTTTGTATTTCCATATGAATGTTAAGATTGTTTTTTCTATTTCTGTCAAGATCACTGCTGAAATTTTGATTGGGATCACATTAAATCTGTAGATTGCTTTTGGTAGCTGGCCATTTTTACAATGCTAATCCTACCAGTTCATGAGCATGAGAAGTCTTTCTTAGTGTCTTCCTCAGTGTCCTTAACACAATCTCTGTGGATTAAGGTTTCCATTCTAGACCTCCTTGGTTAGAGTTATTCCAAGGTGGGTGGTTTGGTTTAGTTTGAGACTATTATCAATGGGTTTACTTCCCTGACTTCTTTCTCAGTATAGTTGTCTTTGGAATATAAAAAGGATAACGATTTTAGTGTGTTCATTTTGTACCCCGCCATTTTGCTGGAAGTGCTTATCAGTCCTGTTTCCTGGCAAAGTCCTTAAAGGTTCCTTTTTTTGGAATCATGATGTGCACATGGCGATGCTTTGATCTCTTCCTTCCCTATTTGTATCACTTTTATTTGCAGCTCATGTCTTACCTCTCTAGGACTCCTAGCACTGTGTTGAGTAAGAGGGGAGACAGTAGACACTTTTGTCTTGTTCCTGGTGTTAGCAGCAATGCTTTGAGTTTTTCCTCCTTTATAATGTTGGCTATAGATTTGTCATATATAGCCTTATTACGCCGAGATAATTTCTTTCTTTCTATTCTGAATTTCTTCAGGACTTTTTAACATGTAAGGATTTGGGCTTTTTTTTAAAAGCCTTTTCTGCATCAATAGAGGTGACCACATGATTTCTGTCCTTGAGTCCACTGTACAATTTATAACATTTATTGATTTTTATCTATTGAACCATCACAAGCTTGTTCAGTCAGGCTATCAACATCAAGGCAACACTTCCACCAGCAAAAGTATCACCACTCTCTGAAGGCAGAGGTGATAATTAACAAGTTCTTGGTAACAGAATATTTTAATTGAGACATGTACATTGTTATTTGAAACACAATGCTGTTGTGCATGTAACACTGAGCACAACTTGTATATGTACTGGAAACCAAAACAAGTTGTGTGAGACTTT